TATTCTTGGGACGCCCCACCCCATGATTCTTCTCCCAAAAACGTCCAACGCCCTTCTCCCCGCCCCCCACCTAGCCCCGACATCCCCACCCCAGAATTGGGCTGTCTTGGACCCCCCCACCCCACGATTCCTCTCCCAAAAACGTCCAACGCCCCCCTCGCCGCCCCCCACCTGGCCCCGACATCCCCACTCCAGATTGCCTCTGTTCTTGGGACTCCCCACCCGACGATTCCTCTCCCAAAAACGTCCAACGCCCCCCTCCCCGCCCCCCACCTGGCCCCGACATCCCCACCCCAGAGTGCCTCTGTTCTTGGGACCCCCCACCCCACGATTCCTCTCCCAAAAACGTCCAACGCCCCCCTCCCCGCCCCCCACCTGGCCCCGACATCCCCACCCCAGATTGCCTCTGTTCTTGGGACCCCCCACCCCACGATTCCTTTCCCAACAACGTCCAAAGCCTCCTCCCCGCCCCCCACCTGGCCCCGACATCCCCACCCCAGATTGCCTCTGTTCTTGGGACCCCCCACCCCACGATTCCTGTCCCAAAAACGTCCAACGCCCCCCTCCCCGCCCCCCACCTGGCCCCGACATCCCCACCCCAGATTGCATCTGTTCTTGGGACCCCCCACCCCACGATTCCTCCCCAAAACGTCCAACGCCCCCCCTTCCCGCCCCCCACCTGGCCCCGACATCCCTACCCCAGATTGCATCTGTTCTTGGGACCCCCCACCCCACGATTCCTCTCCCAAAAAAAACGTCACGCCCCCTCCCCGCCCCCCACCTGGCCCCGACATCCCCGCCCCAGATTGCCTCTGTTCTTGAGGCCCCCACCCCACGATTCCTCTCCCAAAAACGTCCAACGCCCCCCTCCCCGCCCCCCACCTGGCCCCGACATCCCCACCCCAGATTGCCCTGTTCTTGGGACCCCCCACCCCACGATTCCTCTCCCAAAAACGTCCAACGCCCCCCTCCCCGCCCCCCACCTGGCCCCGACATCCCCACCGCAGATTGCCTCTGTTCTTGGGACCCCCCACCCCACGATTCCTCTCCCAAAAACGCCCAACGCTCCCCTCCCCGCCCACCACCTGGCCCCGACATCCCCACCCCAGATTGCCTCTGTTTTTGGGACCCTCCACCCCACGAATCCTCTCCCAAAAACGTCCAACGCCCACCGCCCCCCACCTGGCGACAGCTATCCAGCTTTACGTATTTTCGTCACCGACGCGAGGCTCCTCTCAGCGACTTCCTTCCGTTTGCGCTCTTGGCCAGCACAGCAGCCGTTGCACCTCTGCTTTCCATCCGCCTTCTGCGTCGTTCGCCCGGCCAACCAGGTGCTGTAGTGCTCCCTCTCGAAAGCGCCCTTACATTCCACACATTTCCACTTTCCACGCTGCAGCTTCGCGCCATCGATGCAGCGCTTGCACTTGCGGTGACGCTCTGCCACGCCCTCCCACATCCACTGCGAAAAGCATTCACGCCGCTGCGCCACCCCGCACGCAACGCAGGCTCTCTCGTCCTTCCTCGCAGCCGCGTCCCTCTGCGCAGCGCCTCCTCCTCCTCCTCCTCCTCCTCGTCCTCCTCCTCCTCCTCCTCCTGCCTCTCCTCCTACTCCTCCTCCTCCTCCTCCTCCTCCTCCTCCTCGGTACCCTGCCTCCCTTTTCTCCTCCCCGTCCTCTTCCTCCTCCTCCTCCTCCTCCTCCTCCTCCTCCTCCACCTCCTCCTCTCCTCCTCCTCCTGGAAGTATCAAAGCCGCAAATGAACGCCTCCTCCTCCTCTTCCTCCTGCCCCTCCCCCTCCTCCTCCTCCTCCTCCTCCTCCTCGGTGCCCTTCCTCCCTTTTCTCCTCCCCGTCCTCCTCCCCCTTCTGCTCCTCCTCCTCCTCCTGTTCTCCTCCTCCTCCTCCTCCTCCTCCTCCACCTTCTCCTGGAAGTATCAAAGCCGGAAATCAACGCCTCCTCCTCCTCCTCCTCCTCCTCCTTCTGCCCCTCCTCCTCCTCCTCCTCTTCCTCCTCCTCCTCGGTACCCCTCCTCCCTTTTCTACTCAAGGCACCGGATAGGACCATGGCCCAGGAGGATCCACGCGTCCGCGGGCAGCCAGCCCCCGTCCCCCAGCGCTGTGGGACCACACTTCAAGAACGAATGCGGGGCACAAGGATCACGACGACGACGAGGACAAGTATGACGACGAGTACGACGACGAGTACGACAACAAATACGACGACGAGCACGATGACGAGTACGACGACCAGTACGACGACGAGTACAACGACGAGTATAACGGCGAGTACGAGTACGAGTACGAGGTACGAGTACGAGTACGACTACGAGGACGACGACAAGAAACGACGACCACGACGACGACGACGACGAGGACGTCTGAACCCCCAAGACCCGAAGAACCCACAACGGGCCCCAAGAGCCCCAAGGGGGCCCAAAGTATGCCCCATGCATTCAAGCGCTTCTCAAGAAGCCTCCACGGGCTCCACAACTGCCTGCCAGAAAAAGAAGGCGACCCTCAGCCGGGAGAATAGGAGGAAGACGACGACGACAACTCCACCTGGTGATCTTGAGATGAGAGGCCCGAGTGGAACCCAGTTCGCTCGCCGCGCAATGCGAACAACGGGTTATGTGAGGACACGCTGTGAACATCAGGAGCAAGAGGCTAGTTAAAATAAGCTCCCCGACCGCTGCCGCAGCAACGAAAGGCTCCGAAGGATGGCAGGCCTGGAAACCCGAACCACGACGAAGCCGACGGCGAGGTCGACAACGAGAACGAGGACGAGGACGACGACCGCGACGACGACGGCACAGCGTCCGCACACGAAACTGTCACGAAACCTCCTTTCCGCCAGCGGGCGTCGGGCACGAAACTGTCACGAAACCTCTCTTCCACCACCGGGCCGTTTGGAAGCCCTTGGGGCGTATCTTTGGGCCTCCTGGAGGCTGTTGGGGCCTCTTCGGGGCTTTGGGGGAACTTGTTGGCTGTTTCGGGCCCGTTGGGGGAATGAAGGTTTCGTGAAGGAGGAGGAAGATGTACGAACATTACACCCACATCAATTGAATTACTGCAGCGTGAATGCCTGTGCCGGAAAGACAGGCAAGATCGGAGAGGCGCCCAGAGACATGATGCCCAGAATGTGGTGCTCCGCCCCCGTGCCCTCTGGCACGTGGAGGCGTGCTAGAATGCCAAGTCCTGCCTGATAAAACTTCTGGATTCTGGACTGTTCTGAAGGCCCACCCATAGCTCGCACCTCGCTGCACGGATCGCCCCCTCTCCCCGAGGCTCTGTCGGCGCCGAGACACGCCCCTGGAGTTGTCCAAGACGTCCACACCACCCAAGATGGCTTCCAGGACCGCCGAAGAAGCACCGAGAACGCTCCAGGAGCACCCCCAGAGAAGACCGCGGAAGCCAGAATCACGGATATGCATCCTGTGTTTTTCAAGATGTTCGTCCTCTCCTGCTCGTCCTGCCCCGCTGCACCACCTACCCCAATCCTCCTTTCCCCGCCCTCCTCTTAATCCCCAGGACGCGCGCCCGGTTGAGCGAAATGTACATGTCTTCCACTTCAATGAGACCTCCTTTGCGTCGCGCGTAACCCCAATTTGGGGTCGGCGGCAGAGGCGGCAGCCTTTAGATATAAAAGGGCCCTGGAGACAAGGCTGCGCCGGATACCCGGGTATAGGGGGTGGGGGTATGCCCAGACTGGCGATGGCAAGAGTCCCTCAGGTCCGCTGCCCCTGCGGGACACCACGGCAGGGCTCCCTCTTCCCTCCTCGCCCCTCCTCCTCATCCTCCCTCCCTCCCTCGCGAGCCGTCACAGTCCATCCCTCCACCCAGAGACTACAACTCTCGCTCTGCGCCACTCATCCGTTGACCGCCCCGCTGCGCCGCCAGTGCTAGGCGCCAGTGGCCCAGCCCAGAGCTCGGAGCGACATGCCCTCCTTCCCTCCCTCCCCCTCCTCCCCTCTTCACCCCCCTCCCCGTTCCCCTTCGCTTCAGGGTGGCGGGGGGGGGGGGGCGGGCCGGCAGGGTCGCGCACCCCTTTCTGGCTCTGGGGAGATCGGAATCACACAATGATCGGCACACGGAGTCATGTAGGGCCGTGTTCAACCAGCCTCCCCCTCCTTCCCCCTTCTCGTGATTCTTCGGTGCCACCGGCCAAAGCCTTTTTGCACATGCTATTCGACTGCTGCCCACGGCCTGTGCGTTCCAACGGCTCTTCGATCCACATTTGCCCCCAAGTGGCCTCAAGTTCGCCCAACGAGGCCTCAAGTCGGCACACGAATCTTCATAATCAGCCCGATTGACCTCAAAACTGGTCCAAGCGAGACAGGATGCTTCATAGAACTCTCAGGCTGAGCAGGAAGGCGTCCAAGATGCCCGCGCCATGGCCTCGGAATGTCCCCTAAGATAGGCCCCGATAGACAGACCGAATGATGGCAAGCCAATGCTAAATCGTCGTTTTGACCCGGCCCCGTGAGACCACCCAAGACGGACAAGCGGCTTCCAAGTTGGATCAAGTTGAACCACGATGTTTCCAAGAGGTATTCCAGACACACCCACCACGACCCCAGGGATCTGAGGTCGCCAGAGCGTCCAAACTCTTAAAAACGCCTCGGTGAGCCCGAGAGGCCCCTGGAAGGTCTAATATGCCAAACGTGGAAAACATCGTCTCCAAACGCTCCCCGTGGCTTGAGACAGACGCAGTGCATATGTCTGGCCGGGCTATAGCCCACACTGGAGCCGCGTGGGCGTTGTCGCTGGGGGGCTGCGGTGACTCACGGAAGCGTCGTCGATGCAGAATCCGAGGTGTGGCTCGCGGGTTTCAGAGCCTGGGACCTGAAGAGCAATGCACTAGAAAGCTGACACTCCCGATGTGCATGTATGCGGGCACGAGGAGTAGCATGACAAGCAACGGCATGCACATTGACAGTACTGTTGTACGCGAGGGCCTTTCAACACCAACTCAAATAGGGTAGCACACGTGTTTAAGGTGGCACCGTTCGGCGTCGCCGCAATGATTGACATGCAGAAGTGCGGCCAGTCCTGCGCTGCCGATCAATGACAACTTCATTGCGATGAGGAGTAACACAACATGCCATAATTGGGCGTATGCGTATGAGATTGATGGTGCCTGCAAGGCTGATGCCATATTTGCCTTTCAAAAGTCAGATCCGACACAGACAAACATGCCAACTGCAATCGTTCGTCGTATGCATGTCGCCTCCTCTCCTTCACCACGACCTGACCTCTCCCCTCCTAACATTGTTTGCGCCTCGGTGCTGCATCGTCTTGGCGACGCGCACTGTGCTAGGGAACTAGGACGTGATACGATACCACGGATGCGTATGACCAAGTGCTCGCATTGTTCAATGGCACAGGGCCCTTGCGGCTGCGGAATGATAGCTTGGAGTAGCAAGTTCTTAGGCACTTTGGCGAACCCCCAAGAAGCGCCACGCCGTGGGAACCCATGTACCTGAACGCACGTTTGTGGTGCTAGCGTGCGTTAATGTCGCTCTGCACGCTTATGTTCAAACCATCGCCACTCCTTCATGGAGAATATCGGCTCAACGACCACTGACTAACGCGAAGCGCGATCCTATTCGTGCAAATGCGGGTGATCTAGACCTGCGCAGCGATACTGGTGGGCCAGAAGACAAGGTCGCTGGACGCACCACACTGATCCTGGGCCTTCCGCGCTGCTTGCAAGGTGGCCTCTCCGTGGAGGTGCCAGGCCCACCGCGTCGCGAGTCGGATTGGAAACCTGCCCTCTGGGCTCGACCACCCTGCCCCAGCTACCACATAGCCTGCGCCCCTGGGCCGAACGAAGACCTGACGCTCGATGGCCTCCCCACGAGACTTCGACGATTGCATGCTAGGCAACAAACCGTGGCCACAACGCGAAGAGACCTTGAGCCAAGGGCCGTCCCTCCGAACCGTAGAGGGTCATTCTGGGGACCTTCCTGAAAACTCTCCCTCCACTCATGTGTCGATGCAGCGTCGAACGCACGTCGACTTAAGCCGAACTCGAGGCGTTCTTGGGTCGAGCTGGGTTCGAACTAGAATCGAAGTAGACTCGAACAGATCAGGTGGGCCAACGGGAGGTCCCCGAACGAGACATCTAACGAATTTGCCAGCCCCACACAGCACCTGGTCAACTTTCCAAGATGCTCTCGGCAACAACGGCCACACGCCCTCGCGCCCCGCGCGCAATCCCGAACGCGGCGAAGCCCTTCGCGCCCGGGGAGAAGAACAGCTCTTCGGCGCAAGCCGGGAGGCGCGACGTGAAGTCACCTTCGAGCATCTTGCTGGCGACGCTGTGGCAAATCATTAAATGCTCGTTCTGCGGACATTCCTACAACCACTTGCTTCACTCATACGTAGTTGCTGCGTCGAGCAGCCGCCGAAATGAGCCGAACTCGAATCGATCTAGAATCGAACCCAGAATCGAACTAGAGACGCACATATCCGCTAGGTGAAGCCAAAATCCCTGAACCGAACATCTAAGAATCGGCATCGCGGGAACCTCGGGAAAGAGATAGCCCTCCCGCGGAGGAAGACGACAACTACCACCTCAACGAGCTGCATCCGTCTCAACAGAAGCACAGCTGGAGGAGGATGGGGAGGCTGAGGACTGGACGAGCCTTGTGTGTAGGTGTGCCACTTCCGTTGGCGATTGGCCCCAACGTAATACCCAGCTGCGCCCTACATTGGAATCCCACACGCGAAGCATCAAAAGGGCACAAAGACTGGGCCTTAATGGGAAGGCCATACGTACGAAACAGATGAAGGAGAACCGTAAGACATACAATCAGCGGGGTGATGTCGAAAGCAAAAACGAGGCGAATGAGAAGGACGCACACCATTGAGGAAAGGTACCAAAAATCCTGCGGGCCCCCATGGAACAAACCACTAAGGCCTGCGATGCGAACAGCATGCTGCGCTGGCAGATGGCTGCGCCACTTCCGCTGATTCCAACAATCTCCCTTAGTCTCGTGTTAGAACATACTGCCGCTGCCTCTGAACTACTCAAACGCTGAACCCTTTACCAGCACCGCATGCAGCGTGAAGTCTTGAACGATCTCCCTCGGACGTCCCAATCGTCCGACGACATCTTTCTTCTGGATTTCGTGCAATCCACCATCGTAAATTCGAACTTGGACGCATGTGCTGGCGTCTCCACCGCGCCGAGGCGACGTCAATCTGCCGCACGTCAAAGATGCACCCCGTAAGTTCACTTCGTAAGATCTATGATCTGTGCCTCACGTAGGGCCAAAAACAATCGGCAAGACCACCATCGTGAGTCATGCGGAGTCAGTGAGGGTCCTCCAATGAGTGTGGCCTCCGTGTCTTGCTCAGGAATTGCTAGAGGTGCCTCCAGGAGAAGGTGGCCCCAAAAGAAGGCGCAAGTTGCGGCGTCCCGCTCGAGACATCACCGGAAGCAGCTCGGGGGAGCATCGTGGACCTCCTCGCTGGAGGTGCCCCGCCGGTCGCGATGGCGTCGATTCTCATCCCTCCGACGGGGAGGCATCGTCTGCGCGCCTCGTATCCGTCGTCGTCGTCGGCGTCGTCGTGGTCGTGGTGCGTGTTGCTCTGCTCGAGACTTGTCTCCCTTAGTCGGACTCGATTGGACAGGACACGCGAGAGGACACAAGACCCTTCCGAGGGCCACATCGCCACAGGAATGTAGGATGCATGGGTCGAGAGACACAGGACACAAGGATACCCTTGATTTGGCAGGGTCGTCCTACCAATCTGGGCCGACTGCATCATGCAGTGACCACGACCACCCGACGGCTCGGCGTGGGGCACTCGCAGACTCGACCTGCCGCTCGGAGGGGCAGGCGCTCCAGCTCGTACGCGAGCTGGAGCAGAACCAGGCTCTCCAGCGTCACGCTCGGGTGCGCCGCCGCCTCCGCGATGCCGCGCAGCTCCCTCAGGTACTCCTCCTGGGCGGGCGGGCCGGCGAGACCGCACGACACCGGCAGCGCTGTGTCCGCATCACAGCCGCCGCCTCGGAGTCGTGCTCGGGATTTCGCTTTCGTTTTGTTTTCGTTTCCCTTCGCTTTTGTCTCGAATCTGCCCTTGCCGCAAACCGAAGTCGAAACGCAAACGGCCCACGAAATCGCTAAAACACCGTTTAGGTCCAGCCCTGATCTCGAGGGCGTCTCGAGCACTGGTGGGTGTGGAGGTCGACCAGCCCCCCAGGGCGGGAGAGTATCTGTAACCACCGTGCCTCATGGATCCAGGGCCGGGTTCCAGCAACGTCAAAGTCGGAACGGCTATCCCGCTCAACCCTGACCGTAACAAAAACAGCACGAGACATTCAAAAAACAGCCTGCGCACATCTGCTGCCTTAGCTAACCTTCCGAAACACCGAGCACCACACCGGAATTGTCTCTGGCGGATCCTGGCGATGCATGTATAGCATCACATCTGTCCACCTGGTGGCAACGGGCTACGACTAGGTAGCGCTGTAGATGTGTGCAAAAAAAGCTAAGCCGATGGACACCGAGCCCGTGTGTACCTGGGCTCACTTAGCTGAAAACGAGCATGACGCACCATTGGCTCATACAGCGCGGCTGAGCTTATGGCATCTGGCTTCAATTTACACCGCCTCATCTTACTGTATATATCTGTATGTGTATATATATATACACAGATCACGGATGTGCATATCTGTGTACACTGCGTATCACGAGCCGGCCTCCCAACACTCTTACCAGTGCCATTCGCCAAGCCATGTCTCGATATAGATGCCCCACCCACTCTCGATGTACAATGCGCAACCCATGTGACTCACATGCCGACTGCACCACTCGATGCATACCAGATGTTCTTGTGCACCTTCCATCTGAGACGGGGCCCGGCAGGCCCCCCGGGCCTGCGAGCCAGACGCTCCGAGCTGGGCCACGGGACATCGCCCCAGCCTCCCTGGGAGTGGGCTGCGGGGCTGGAGGCCGGTGGCGCGCCGGGGGGGCCAGGGAGAGGGGGCGGGCCTCCTCGGACGGCGGCGGGGCTTCTCAGAAGCCCTCCAGGCTTCGGAGAGCCCCATCTGCGGCTCCGGAGAGGCTCTGGACAGGTCTGCAGGCGCCAGAGATCTCCTGGAAACGCGGGGGAACTCGGGCGAGCACCTGAGGGGCACCGATGGGCGGACTGGCTCAGGGGGGCGGGTCGACCTGGAATTGGCGATGCATCGCCGACAGATAGCGATGGGATCGGCGAGGCATCGGCGATAGCATTGCCTCGAATTGGCGAGGCGTCGGCGATGGGCACCCGATAGCGAGTGCGCACGCCCCTGGGCGGGGCGGGCTGTCGGGCCCCTGTCGAAGAGGAATGGGCATTTGGAGAGAGGTTGAAGTATCACATTGAAATATTCACTAATGGAATACAGTCAGGGCCTTGACCTAAGGAACCCTAAATAAGGAACGAGGCCCCTATTCTCCATAAGTTAAACTTCGATTTCCTATCGAAAACATAAGGAAAACCTGAGGAAGGCTGCGAAACACTTAAGGAACGCGGAGCCCCTCCCCAACGAACAGGGTTCCTTCTTCAGGGCCCCGACTGTAAAAGGGTGGAGGAAACCGATGGATTCGAGACATATGGATTCGAGTGTTGAACGAATGGAATAAAAGGGTGGAGGACACATGGTGTGCCTCCCTCGGTGGTGGTAGGCCCATGGTGCCCACCGTTGGACGAATCCCCCCATGTGCCTAGCTGGGTTGTGGTGCTGGACTGGAGGGAGAGTCGGGCGAGTGCCACCTCTGAACACGCAAGCGCTGTGCACGAGCTACGGGCGTGCACGGCTGCTCAGCGGGGAGTTTAAGTCGAAGCCAGAACGAAGACAAAACGGCACCATAACAAATCGGGGATCGCTGACATCCGGCCGTTCTGGCGGGTATATCGGGCGCCGGGCGTCCCGGAACGCTGTGAGAGTGTTCCGGGACGCGCAGGAAAGATCTATCCCGGTCCTAGCCCCGCCCGACTGGGCCGCGGGGCTTTCCGAATGACTGACTTTCCATCCCGTTACAATCCAGGGGGGACCCCAGGAGCCTTCTAACGGCGGGAAACATCCAGGACCCCGTCCAGCTGCAGGACCCCTTCTCTTCATGCTGATTCTTGGGGTCCCAGGGTCCCATCCTCGGCGTCGCAGGTCGCACACTGGCTGGAGCAGCACTCACGAGCGCACAGGCCATCCAGCTCCATGGCATTCTTCTCCTCCTCATCCTCCTCCCCCTCCCCCTCCTCCTGCTCCTGCTCCTCCTCGTCAACTGACTCCTCCTCTTCCTGTCCCGTCCTCGATGTCGTGAGACGCGGTCCACTGCTGCAAGATGGAGGAGTTTGTCGCCGACATTGTCTGCGCCCACCAGTCCTGCACCACGCGGGCTCTGCACGCGGCCAGCGCTCAGCGGTGAAGAGGTGAGAGTGTCAGAATCGCACAGCGAGCAAGAGCGGAAGATGTAAACATCCGTCCGCTCAGTGCCGACAAGCAAAGAAAACAAATTCGTCCGTGGCTGGCCGCTCCGCTGAGGAGATGGAGCGGGGCCCGGTCCATAATTTCGATCAGCTCGTTGCGTCTCTGCCTGGTTATGTCCTGCCACCGCAGCTCGGGCGCGAGGTCCAGATTCACAGTATGTCTGGGCAGTGGCACCACCTCGGCGGCCCCGCTGCAGGCTCTGGCAAGCAGCAGGCAACCATAATGTACATGTGAGACCACCCTTGTGGTGGTAGTGGGGTTGGGGGAGAGTGGCAATCGGCTTCAAAACGGACTGGCCGTAGATCTACTCTGCAAACTCTCCCATCTCTCCCATTGTATATAGCCAATTAGGCTCCCTGGCCTCTTGGAACTCTGCTCCATCGCCGATGCAATTTAGCTTATCGCACTCGTCTGGTATGACAGGAACAGATCATCACACACACACACGCACAACGAGCACATCACTGCTATTTTGCAAACACCATCATTTGAAAAAAACGCACCTGCTCGGTGTGTCGTTACTAGCTTAACCAGTCCGGCTCCCTGGCGACTCTGACACATACTCAACTCCTCAGAGTGACCCCCTTGCAGCAAAATGCGCTAAACGACTCTACATGGCAACGACGGGAGCCCAAACCTGGGGACACGGTGGGCCACCGAATTTTGGGGCTGGGTTCGCTCGCTGGGCGTTGGAACGAGTATGCGAAACCCGTACAGAAAAGCTTGTTTCTGGAAAATGGCAATCAAACAAAAGTGCCCCGACACAGCTAAGATGTCCACATTGCCTACGGATGATGACCGATGTCTCTATCATACACGCTTACATGGAAATGCTCGCAGTTCCGAGTGCTACACTTTGCCAACTTCTTTAAACTAGCCCAATACAGCCCACTCTTCCATCTCGCTAGGCACATCCAACTCTTCACGCTGTTTCAATGTGTGCCATTATACTGCGCCTTCTAATCCTCCCAACCCTTCTAATAGGCTGGCGCCCCACAACTTTGCATCGTGACATATCTCATCGGAGTGCGGGGGCAGAACTGTCATTCACTATCTTTGGCTGCGTGGCTGAAGTGAGGCTCCGCGGTGCGAAATGGTGTTGTTGCTGGTGTTGTTGTTGTGGTGGTGGATGTGGTTGTTGCTGTTGTTGGTCTTGTGACTGCTGCTGTTGTTGTTGGTGCTGTTGCTATGTTGTTAGTTGGTGCTGCTTTGATTGGTGCTGTTACTGCTCATGTGACAGTTAGAGAGTGATACGGTTGTTGGTGTTGTTGCTGTTGCTGCTGTTGTTGTTTGTGTTGTTGTTAAACTCTCAGCTCTGAAGAATGATTATTGTTGGTACCCCCCACCAGTAAACCCTGTTTTTTTCTTAATCAAAATGTGTCCCTCGACGTTCGCACTTCTTTAAAAAAAAAGCGGGGGAAGTATTGAAGCTCAGACAGAGCCCCTGGCCCAAGGGTTACAACAACAACGGCTCCCGCCTGAGACTTCCGCACAATTTAGTCACGACCCCCGTTCCCGCCCGAGACTTTTTCGCATTGTGTTCAGGAATCGCGCTCTCGCTTGGGACTTCCTTACAATTTATTCAGGAATCGCTCTCCCCGCGCTCTGGAGTCGCGCTCTCGCTGGAGACTTGCTTGCAATGTACCAAAGAATGACGCCCTTGCGTTGGAATGTCCGGCAATTCACTCAAGCGCCGCGCTCCCGACACCCAGGCGCCTAGAAGTCGCGCTCACGCTTGGGACTCCCTCACAGATTACCTAGGGATCGGGGTAGCGCTGCCCTTCGTGGCCCCGTTGCAGCACTTCGTGGCCCCCTCGCTTTGTTTCGTGGCCCCGTTGCAGCCCTTCGTGGCCCCCTCGCTGCTCTTCGTGACCCCGTGCAGCCCCTCGTGGCCTCCTCGCTGCCCTCCGTGGCCCCGTTGCAGCCCTTCGTGGCCCCCCGCTTTGTTTCGTGGCCCGTTGCAGCCCTTCGTGGCCCCCTCGCTGCCCTTCGCTGCCCCGTTGCAGCCCTTCGTGGCCCCCTCGCTGCCCTTCATGGCCCCATATATGTATGCCCTTCGTGGCCCCCGTTCGTCGCGCCCGTGGAAGACCCATCTGCATGCCCTTCGTGGCCCCGCTGTCGCCCTTCGTGGCCCCCCCGCTTTGTTTCGCAACCCCGTTGCAGCCCTTCGTGGCCCCCTCGCTGCCCTTCGTGGCCCCATTGCAGCCCTTCGTGGCCCCGTTGCAGCCATTCGTGGCCCCCTCGCTGCCCTTCGCTGCCCTTCGTTGCATCCCTTCGTGGCCCCCTCGCTGCCCTTCATGGCCCCATATATGTATGCCCTTCGTGGCCCCCGTTCGTTCGCGCCCGCGGGGGCCCCATCTGCATGCCTTTCGTGGCCCCGCTGTCGCCCTTCGTGGCCCGTTGCAGCCGTTCGTGGCCCCCTGACAGCCCCTGGTGGCCCCCTCGCTGCCCTTCGTTGCATCCCTTCGTGGCCCCCTCGCTGCCCTTCGTGGCCCCATATATGTATGACTTTCGTGGCCCCCGCTCGTTCGCGCCCGTGGAGGCCCCATCTGCATGCCATTCGTGGCCCCGCTGTCGCCCTTGGTGGCCCCGGCCCAGTATATACGTATGCCCTTCGTGGCCCCGTTGCAGCCCTTCGTGGCCCCCTGACAGTCCCTGGTGGCCCCCTCGCTGCCCTTCGTTGCATCCCTTCGTGGCCCCCATCGCTGCCCTTCGTGGCCCCATATATGTATGCCCTTCGTGGCCCCCGCTCGTTCGCGCCCGTTGTGGCCCCATGTGCATGTCCTTCGTGGCCCCGCTGTCGCCGTTTGTGGCCCCCTCACTGTCCTACGTGGCCCAGTTGCTACCCTCAGTGGCCCAATCGTTGCCTTCTGTGGCCCCGCATTATCTGCCCTTGGTGGCCCGCGGTCGTTCGCGCTCTTCGTGGCCCCATACGCATTCCCTTCGTGTCCCCGCTGTCGCCCTTCGTGGCCTACTCCGTGTCCTTGTGGCCCTGCTATCGTTCTCTCTCGCTCTCGCTTTCGCTCGTCGTCGTCATCGCCGTCGTCGTCGTCGTCGTCGACGTCGTCGTCGGCGTCGTCGTCATCGTCTTCGTCGTCGTGGTCGGTCCCATGTCCGTCCCTCTTGGGGTCGGGTCGACGGTCCGCGGCCTGCAGGAAAGAAAGGTATACCCCCCAAAAGGGGTTCGACCGAAAGCGAGGAGGGCGGGTATCGATGGTGTGGGAAATACGCGTTCTTGGACGCTCGAGCAGATAAGGGCGAGTAGTCTTAAAATGATGGTTGTTGCTGTTGAACTCTGATCGATGAAAAATAAGTGCTGATCCCTTCTAGCAGCAATAGCTTCGAAACATAGGCAAGTGGTAGCTTTAGTAATGGCTGTCCCTGTCGATCTGTGCATTGAGCAATCAGAACGCAAAACATGCAGAAAAAGGAACCCGGTGTGGGGGGGTGGGGGGCGCTGAGAGGAGGCACACGTGGCTCAGGGAGGCTCGCGGTTTCTGTTCGGTTCTGGGGGTGAGGTGGCGAAGAGGGAGGAGGAGCGGAGGGGGAGGAGAGTAGCAGAAGGGTTCGGGGGAGGATGGGGGGAGGAGAAAGAAAAGAGATGAAACATGTACCTCTTGCGCGTGCTGAGTCCTCTCCCCTCCTCCTCCTCCTCCTCCTCCTCCTCCTCCTCCTCCTCCTTTTCCTCCTCCTCCTCCTCCACCTGTGCGTCCTGCTCCTCCCCATGCCAAGGACGATAAGGTCAAACGCCTCATTCTACGACAATTCTGGTACTTCTGCTACGTACGACTACGCAGGAGGAAGGCGGCCATCCGACCCCAACATGCTCCACCACCGTGCCCGCCGAACGGGCACCAGAGAGATCTGGGCCCATCCGCGCCAAATCCAGTAGCTGAGGCTGCGACATCGTGCAGCGGAGGCGGCGCGGGCAGCGTGGGATCATCCGAACCTGCCTGGGGCTGCACCCTTGAAGAAGAGATCACTTCCAGCGCACGCGCGATGTGCAGGGTGCACAGCAATAGGGACCTGCGGGGCGGGCCGGGGGGGTGCACAGGGCTGGCGCAGACGACCGCGGGACGAAGAGGAGGAGCAGGTGCGGGCAGCGGCGAGAAGGCACGGCGAGAGGAGGAGGAGGAGGAGGAGGAGGAGGAGGAGGAGGAGGAGGAGGAGGAGGAGGAGGAGGAGGAGGAGGCAGCGAGAGAGAGGAGGAGCAAGCAGCGGCGGCGCAGCGAGGGAGGAGGGGGAGCGGACCAGGAGCAAGAGGGGGGGGGCCGGGACTGGGCTGGCTGGTGAGCCACCTACTCCTCGGAGGTGGCCGAGCCTGGAGTGGACCCATCCTGCGGCCGAAGCATCAAAGCAAGAAGAGCCCGAGGCCCCCCAACCCGGACGCAGTGCCCAGGCATCCTTTGCTTCCGCCGAGGCGCACATCTTGGTCCGTGGCGCGGGTACTGGGACCTCTCGACCCCATCTCGATTGTCCTCATAACGTGCGCTGGCGCCAACGTGTGATTGTCCACCGAGACCCTTCAATGCGAACGGGATAAACACACGCTTGGGCTAACACGCATTCTGAAGTTCATCGACCGCCCTGGGGACACGTGATTCATCCCAGAGACCTACACACCCCAGAAGACCCAGAGCTGGGAACCGATCGGGTAGTCACGAGAGCTCCGTGCAGAGGGGGGCCTGGGGGCCTACCCGCGTGCGTACGCAACACACCGGCGAGCTCCCAGCGGCAGCGTGTCATTGATACTCTGACCCTTCCAGGAAGAGAGAGAGGGAGAGAGAGAGAGAGAGAGCGAGGGAGAGAGAAAGTGTTTCCTCGCTGGGCCTAGGTGCAATTCGCGCGTTCCAATTCGAAGCCCCACTGCGTCCCCACGGGTCCCCTTGGCGATGGGGGAGGGGGGCCAACTTGGGTCTCTTTCGAGAGCGAGAGAGAGAGAGAGAGCGAGGCTAGAAAAAGAGAGAGAGAGAGAGCGAACCCGGGGAGAGCGCGGACCATCGTGGGACAAGGCCCTGCATGTAGGGTGCGGACCACACCGTGTGGAGGCAAGGTACTGTGGCACGATCCTGGGCCGGCGCGTGGCGCTCCGTCCGCCTGTCTCCCCCGGAACTCTGGCAAAACTGCTCGGAATCCAAGAGCAGGATCCACATGCAGGCGACTCGCACAAACCCAGACCATCGGAGATGTCTGCCCTCTGTTCGTCCTCATGCTGCGCACCCCCCCATCCTCGTCACGGTTGTCCTCCTCCTCCTCCCCCTTCTAATCCGTCTCCACCTCCCTCCACGATGGCGACGGAGACGGCGGCGTGGACGAAAACGATGACGACTCCGACAGCGACGACGACAAACGCGGCGTCGATGCCGCCGAGAGGGCCTCCTCCTGCGCCCCCTCCTGCGACCGCCGTCGTCTCCCAGCGGGGCGTCCCCTGATGGTGGCTAAGAGAGTTGCGCGTGTCGTGTGCCGCACGCCCCTGTGGCTAACCTGGGCTGCGTAGGGCCGATGTGTCGGGTGTGGCCAGCGCTGGCATCCAGTGGCCGCAATAAGCGGACAACGTTTTAACTGTTGGCGAAATAACTGTCAAACCTTGGGCGGACCAACGCGTAGCACCTGTGGCCTCCACGCGGACGAAAACATCAGAGAGGATGCACGCAAGCAACCTCCTGGCCTCCGTATAACAACGCACGCAAGATGGAGGAGGAGCATGAGCATGTGCAGAAGCACAGAAGAGAAGAGAAACAAGGAAGGAGGAGTGGAGCAGGGACCAGGAACGGTCGCCGAATGCCCCATGTGAATGCGTCACTGGTGGCTGATAATTCCTTGTCGTAGGCATCATTTTGGTAATCGTGATGTCTAGAAGAAGCTCCGCCAAGCAGTCACTGACCGAGACAGAAACCGACACGGATATAGAGGCGGCGCGGGCGAAGCAGTCGGTGTTGAGGGATCCTCCTCCTCCTTTTCTTGGTCCCCCTCGCCTCATCCCCTTCCCTCACCTTCCTCCATCCGTTCATCCCCTCGCCTCTGACTATGTGCACCTCTACATCCCCCTGCTCGTGTTCCCGTCCCTCCAACTTCCCGTTCCTCGGCATCGCGCCGAGGTGCAGAGGAAGAGGGGGCCGGCTTGCTCAGAAAGCGGCGGGCTTCTCAGAAGCCCGCTCAAGCCTTCCGGGGAGCCTCCCGCGGCTTAGGCAAAAGCCCAGGAAGCCCGCCTGCAGGCCTGGGGGCCTCCCCGCGCCCTCCGAGAAAGGCCTGCCCTCCCGCAGGCCAACTGCCAGGGACCCAGCCCGCCCTCCTCCCGACACCCTGCCCTCGCTCGAGCGTCCCCTCCCCGTGCCCTTTGTCGGTCTCGTGCGCTTCTTGGTCGCAGGGCGATCCAGGCTGCTCCGCGATGGTCCTGGCCGAAGAGAAAGCTCGGGGGCGCGCCAACATGGACTAGCGATCCATGAATTTGGCGCGCGGTCGCCAAATCCATGGATCGGGGGAAATGCCCTCCTCGAAATGCGGCCGGAACAACCTCGTTCGGCGGCGGACATCCGCGATCCCCCATGGAAACGAAGGACCCGCCGCTCCTCCACGCCCCCTATGAATCCGTGTCTGCGACCGCCTGAGAAACGGCCCACGCCCAAACGATGCCAGGGCTGCGGGCAAGATTCATGTCCATATCCAGTGCCTCTTGGACTTTTTTGGAAGCGGCGCCACAAGGCCGAGGCGCACTGGATATGGACAAAAATCGAGCCTCTGGGGGGCAAATTTATCCATAGCCAGTGCGCCTCGGGTCTCTTGGGAAGGGAGCCCGAAACTCCATACTGCAGTGGATGTAGACATAAGTATTGCCCGCAAGGGCACTTCCCACCCCCTCTGGCGGTGCGCTCCCGTGCTCCGCCGCCCCTGCCGCGGCAGCCCCGCGGCGGCCCGCCGCGGGGGGGGGGGATCGGCGGGGGGCGGCCCGCGCACGGCTCCCGCTGGAGAGCGGGCGCGGCGCGCGTGCGCGCGCGCCGTCGCCGCCGCCACCGCCGATGTGGCGCAGAGTGCGGGGCCAAGGTTGGAGACCTGGAAATGGGCACCAGCACCAACACAGGGGGTTGCCTCCACAGGGGGAAGGTGATCCTAGATTTCGGTGTTGGTGGTAATATTTCGGCCACCTTGGAAGCCATAATATTACCACCATCGCCGAGATCGGGATCTTCTTCCCTCGGTGGAGGCACACCGCCGACATTGGTGTTGGTGTCGACCACTAGGCCTGCGACAAGGGCGAATCCGCGCGTCTTGATCCATGTCTGCGCGTCCCCACCGCGGATGATCCTGAAGATTGAGAGGGTGGTAAACAGCATGGACCGCATACCGCGTGCTTGTAACAACACCTGCTGTGCAAAATACGTGCGGCAAGAAGCGAAAGTTGTGCGATCTGCGAGGCGCAAGCTATATGGTGCAAGATACGAGGGGCAGTAGATGTGGTGCAAGTCGAAAGTGAGCCTGGTAGGTCAAATAGCATCCGTCTCCATGGGAGGCGGATGGGCTCACATTGCATCCAATTCCATGCCGAAGGAATACGATATGGGGAGTGGGTGGGTAGGATAGGATAAGATCGATGTAGCGGTCTTTCCAGCACATAGCGAACACTAAGGTAAGTGTCCGGGCAAAAAGGGCGCGCGTGCCTTGAGCCAAAGGCAACGGCGCGCGAGCTATACTCCCGATACTATAACATATCCCAAAGAGCTACCCTTAAAGTCGGGAGGGGAGGAGACGGAGAGTATAGCCGCGCAGCCGTTAGGCTCTACAAAGGCCGCGCGCGCGACTGTTTGCAAGAAAACAGTGTGTACAGTCTGGCCTGACACCAGACTGTAAAGCGAGTTTCCTCGCAAAGCATTTCACGCAAATACGAGATAGCCCCTTCGGACGATGAAGGGCTATCGGTTCAGCTAGAGGTAAGCCAAACGGGCCATACCTCACCGAGCAAGCAGGTATTGAGGCAAGGAGCCTAAATCATATAAAGCCGGCTCGTTGCCAGGCGTGAAATGTGAGGCTCGTTTCCGAGCACCTAGAATGGCGCCTCTGTAGTAGGCGCCCATGCTGGCAAATTGGACCGCGGGGGGCAACAAGGACAGACTAACATTGATTAGACTTGGGTTTGTTTCTGTCCTCGGGACCCCGAAAGGGAACAAACTGCTTCACGTCATACTTGAATGACTGAATGCCTGACATCACTTCCAGAAGCAGCTCCCGCTCGATGCTTCCCTTTGTATGCCCATCTGCGGTCATATCTCTAGTATCACACCACTGCACGTTATGTACTATACCTATATCCATGAGCTCACGTACCCAGCTGATATGTCCAAGCAGAGTCCGTTCTGTCGGTATCTTAAGATCCTTGCTTGATAATGATTTATAAACCGACTCAGCGTCTATGGTAAGAGATACTTTAATGGCTAGGCCTCCAACTTCACGCATATCTCGTAGTTGTCGTGGAGTCAGAGCCCCTGCCTTGAGCTCGTGGAGAGTGATGAGCGTAGGGTAACACTCATCGAGGTTATGCGCAGCTGCGAGTGCCTCCGCAGCATAGCTGGACCTCACCTGCAGTCGGTGTGATTTGCATAGTCCGTCACAGAGGTGAACGACGGATTTGCCTTGAGGCGAGTTTCCTCGCCGTAGTAGATTGGCCCCGCGTATGCCGTAGCCCTTGGTCTCATCCCCCTCCTCCCCGGTGAGCTTCCGATACCCCGAATCGCTGTGTATGTCAACTTCATTCGTCGGCTTCATCCGAGGGAAGGTGATGCGTTTCGGGCTGCTGATCAGCTTTCGCGTCACAGCATTCATTCGCCTGACTTGCAGGTTGGTGGGCTCCTGGATTTTCTGGAGAGAGACCACGTATACCATGAGCCAGATTTGAGTAAGAAGGGCATAGGCGAGGGCTCCTCGCAAGCTGACGAACATGTCGGCAATGAGTTTCGTGGCTTTGGCATCGGCCGCCGCTCCTGTAAGTTCTGGGTGTGTGATAGGACGTAGTTGTTTGATATACTCGTCCTGATCCATGATCACATCCCCTTGGTCATTCTTAGTGTAGCGAACGGCGCAGTTCGTATATGAGTGTTTGTTAAGCTTGCATTTGCCAAACACCTTTTCGACACGTTGTATATAGTCGTCTATATTTTTCTATAGGTCTGTCATATTAATATCATCGACATGTTTTGCCGTTAGCAAATCTTGGCTGAATTCAAATTCAGGATCATAGCTGGTCGGTGTAAGGCCTATAGCTCGCGTGGTCGTGCGAAGTTTGAGAGAGAACGCTCTTGGGGCGTCCTTTGTACCCGTTCCTGGTTTGAGGCACCTGAGGCAGTGTCGGCTTTCGTCATAGGATGAAAAGCCGGGTAGTGTACGAAGTACCTGGGCACTTCCCGGTGGAAGGGTGAAGCAAACCATGCGAGTTTCCTCGCCGGTGGCATGGGCAAGTTCCTCATAGGTCAGATCCCCTTGAGGAACGCCTTGTCGATATCCATGGATGCTGAGATCCACTCTGGATGGCATGCCGCCTCACTTGCCAGGAGTCTCTGGGACTGTCTTCGGGCGGTTCCCGAGAAAGTTTCCACATCGAAAGCCTCAGTGTCCATAAATCCACGAAGGACAAGTCTGAGACGAATGGTTTTAACGTTCTCGGTACCCACCTTCACAAGCTTCCACTTATATACATACCTGGATGTCATGATGTTGGAAGCTTTGGATCAATCATACATCTCAAAGCATCGGTTATCAATCCAGATTTTGAGTTCAGTGTACAAAGCTTCACTAACCTCCTCTGGATGTGCTGCTATGTCGGCTTTGGTGAGTAGGTCATCTTCTTTGACTACCACAGCACGTTTAGCAGCAGAGGATACATGTACTCTCATCGTTGCGACCATATCAGTGTCGAGCTGTGCAAGTTGAGTCTGATCCAACACTACCTTTGACATTTCTGCTGTAAAACATAACTCAACATAGGGACCATATTCATCACTGTCAAGAGAGTAGCCCTCATCAGGTGTGGTTCAGCAGAGAGAGAGACTAGACAGGGCTCTCTTGGTTCAGGCTCGTCTCC